GCTCTCCTTGAGCAGCACAGCCTTGCCCAGAGGTTGGAAACCCAAGATGTTGAGGGAATTCAACTCACACATTCCTTCCCCAGGTCCAGCAGTTGCTCTGAGGCAAAGTCAGGCAAGATTTTGACTTTGGGGCCCCGGCTGAAGGTTGGGGGGTGTCTCCTTACAGACCTGAGGGCTTTATTGATTGTCTCCTGCCTGAGTTCCCACCCCATCCAGGCGGGAATTGTTCCCCTCCAGATGACAAATGGAGCTGCCAGCCTCTGATTTATTTTAATTGCCATTTTTTCCCTCCCACTGGTGACATAAAGACATGATGAATCTGTGCTGGAGCACCCGAGGTGGGATGTGCTGGGGCTTGGTGGGGGCATCATCCATCTGAATGTGTGGAAAAATCCTTCTCCGAAACCCCACAGCATGGGGACACTGAGGCACTGGAGCTGCTCAGGAGGAGCTGGGAAATTGTTCAGGGGTGAAAGGGAAGAGAAACTGTTTCATGGCTGCCTGTGCATGGGGTGGGAAAATCCCAGAGTTTTGTGGTCAGGATGAGCTGAGGAATTCCAGGCTCTGTCTGGGCTCCTCAGCAGCCCCATGGGGTGATGCATTTCAGCACAACACCTTTGTCACTTGGGAAGCTGTTGGAGAGGAGGGAGGATGTCAGGAAGATTCCATGTGTTCTCTGCGGCTGCAGGGACAGGGACGGGGACAGGGACAGGGACAGGGACGGGGACAGGGACAGGGACAGGGACGGGGACAGGGACAGGGATGGGGACAGGGACGGGGACAGGGACAGGGACAGGGATGGGGATGGGGATGGGGACAGGGATGGGGACAGGGACAGGGGAGGATGTGCTGTTCTACATGACACCATAGCTGGAGTCTGTCACAGGGAAGAGCTGGGATGGGACACACACCACCCTGAACACTACAGGGCACTATCCTTGGAGGTGTGGAAGAGAGGCACGAGATTCCAGGGAGCCACGTGGCACATGGAGAATCTCCTGGGGGCATCTCCTTTGTCCCCCTGTGTAAGCACTGGACGCTCCACAGGCTGCTGTCCAGCTTCTCCCTTCCAGCCGTCTGGAAAAACGTCTTTTGCCACAGGCTGTGTCCTTGCTTTGCTTCCCGCTGGGACACCGGGAGGGGCGCGGGTCCCAGCGCCGGGAGCCGGTGCCGCTGTCCCCGTCTGGCTCCCCAGAGCAGCCCTGGCACAGCCTCTCCCTCCCGGAGCAAGTGCCACCCGTGCTGCAGACACGGCACAGTCGGTGCTGACGTTACAGCCCAGAGCAGGGCTGGGGGCGTCTCCCCCACACCCCCTCCCTCTCCCTATCCAAGGAGAATCCTTCGCCAAAGGCAGCCAAGAGCTCTGGCTGGGATGAAGTTTGGGTGTTTGGGGCATTTTTGGGACCTGTGGTTATGTGATGTCCCCCTTCTGGAGCTGCCACCTGTTTGGTGTCTGCCCAGCAAATCCCAGCCCGTCCGTCATTCCCGGCTGTGTCACCGTCCTGTGGTGACATGGAAATGGCTCCAGCGTTTAAAGGCGCCTGCCAGGATCGGGATCGGGATCAGGATCATGGCAGGAGCACAGACGGGCTGAGTCCTCCTGGGTCCCTCTGCTCCTCCTCAGCAGGGAGAGGAACCGAGGCAGGGAGTGGGGATGGACCAGATTCTGGTGGAAGGGTCTCTGAGGGAGCAGGTTGTGAATTTGGGCTCCTCTGAGCACAGGTAGAGTTTGGAAGGCAAAGGCAGCAGCTTGCAGGGGGCAGATGGACCGGAGACAGAACAGAGCCAAACCACCTGGAGCTCATGGATGTCTAGAGCTTCCCAGAGCTCCTCTTGGATTCCTTGGGCTGCATCCCTGGAGGAGCCCCCTGCCAGGAGGAACCAGAAGTGGGCACCCAAAATCAGGTGGCTCCACCCTGTACAGGCATCACTGTCCTGAGTGGGACCATCCCCAGTGAGTCCCGGGGAGCCAAGGGCTGGGAGGTCCCTGGGTGCCCAGATCTCTGTAATTATAGATCCAGGTCCATGCACCAGCTCTCCTCAGGACACAGTGCTTTGGGAAGGACGTGGCCCTGCAATGTGATCCCGGATCCCTGATCCTGCCTTAATTCTTTCTGTACTTTGAGGGTTTCTTCTTCCTTCTCCATTAATCTCTGAATATTAGGTGGAAAGCAAACAATTACCACACTAATGGCTCCATAAATTCCTTCATTACTTATTAAACTCGAGCGCTCCCCACGCACCGGAGGGAAAGAGATGAAACGGAGAAGAAATGGGAGCGGAGGGGGGTGAGGAGCCGGGTCAGAGGGGCTCGGGCTGGGCTGCGGCAGCGGGGCCGGAGCAGACCCGGTAATTCACGGGCTGCCGTTGCCCTCTGCCGGCAACGGGACGGAGAGGGGCTGCTCTTCCTTGTCCTGCTCTTCCTCGCTCCTCCCTGCCCGCTGGCAGAGCCCCGGGGTCCCCAGGGCCATGGGCTGGGCAGCCCCGGGGAGTCTGGGCCGCCGGTGGGGAGGATGCTCCGCCAGGATGTCACCACCCTGGCCGAGGGCCCAAAGCTGTCCCCAAAGTGTCCCCAGTGCCCTCGGGGACGGCGCTGAGCAGCGCTGCACATGGATAACATAAGCCTGGTTTCAGGAGAGGTTGGTTCCAGCAGAGGCACAGGGAAGGGGGAGGGATATTGCAGTCCCCATCCCGTGCAGCCGGACACTGCACGGAAAAATCCGCTCCCTCCCGGCTTTCCTCGAGGTGCTGGGAGCTGTTTGCTGCCAAACCTCCCCGGCATCCCGCAGGGGGCATGTTCTCCAGCCTATTTGCTGCTGGCCCGGGCGAGGTCTGACCTGCAGGGATCGCCGGGGATCGCAGCCGCCGCGCCGGGGGGAAGCTTCGCCTCCTCTCCGGGTCGGAGGACGCGGCAGCTCCGCTCCCGGGAGGGCCCTTGTGGCCTCGCCTAAGTGGAGCTAATGGATTTCCATGTCTCCAACAGCCAGCTGGGATCTGAGCACATCTCCTGGAAGAAAGGCAGCTCTTCTGAATGCAAAACTGCAAACAAGCAGATGCCTCCCCAGCCGAGGTGCTCACGAGTCTGCCTGGATCAGCAGGGTTGGAGTGGGAGCTCTGTATCCTGCCAGGAGCCCTTTGCTCCTCCATCAGACTGACCTGCTCCTCCACCATCCACTCCAACCAGGTTTGCAAAGTAAAATGCACAGTTAAACTCCAAGAAAATGTGGGGGTTTGCAGGCAAACAGCAAATTTCTGTGGTTCTGCAACAGCCCGGTATCCTGCGGGATGAGCCTGGCTCCACAGAGGGACGTGGCTGCCCAATCCCATGGACACCAGATGTAATTAGATGTTTAGATCTAGGCCAGGGGCTCCAGGGCCATCTGGCACCTGAATTATTCATACACTTATATCTAAGCACAGGCAGAGCAGAGCACAGCTCCTTATCCAGCCTGGGCCCAGGGGGACATTCCTGCCTGAGCCGGATGGTTTTTCATGGCCTGACAGAGCCTGATCCTTTCCAGAGCTCCTTCCCAACGCTGTGATGCCTTTTCCCAGTGCCAAACCTCCTCCAAAACACACCAGAGATGCACAGAGATCCAAATCAGCAGCAGCTGATGCAGAGGTGGAAAAATCCCAGAGGAGAAGAGCCTCCCCTTGGAAGGAGAGGACCAGGAGGCCTGAAATCAGATTAAATGTCTGTCAGGAGGGTGATGTGGCCCAGTGCTCCTCCAAGGTGTCTTTTGCTCCATGACTCATCAGTTGAGGAATTTTAATCCCTGTCTTTCTCTCCCAAGCCCAGGCACCTGAAGAGAGGACCTTGGTGATGGATTTCTTCTCCAGCCAGTGGAGCTGTGCCAGGTTTTACCATGTGGAACCTCAAGGATGAAGCTGAAATATGGCAAAATAGGTTTTCCCCCAGTTTTCCCTCACCTGTTTGAGGATTAATTCCTCAGCTCCTCTGGGCAACCTGGGATAGTGGAAGGTGTACCTGCCCATGGCAGGGGGTGGAATGAGATGAGATTTAAGGTCCCTCCAACCCAAATCATTCCATGATCCTATAGACACACTGGGACACGCAGGAGAGGAGCTGGCAGAGAGGGGAGAGGTCTCTGCATGGGATGTGGGGGCATCTGATCCAGACTGAAGTGATGCCTTTTTATTGTAAACTGGGACATTTGCTCTCTAAAACCCTCTGTGTGCTAGGTTTAATTCCTCCATCAACTCCAACCCGCCCTCCAGAAACCTTTCCAGCAGCTCTTGAAGTGAGGTATTGCTGGAAAATGGTACCATCTTGACAGAGTAAGAACTTTTCCAGGGGGATATGGTAGTGCCTAAGTTTTATCCTTCAGCTGTGTCTCCCTGGGAAGTGGCTCGAGCAAGTCCTGGGGAGGCCACAAAGGTGATGATGGGACCTGAGCCCCTCTGCTCTGGAGCCAGGCTGGGAGAGCTGGGAATGTTCACCTGGAGAAGAGAAGGCTCCAGGGAGAACCTGGAGCCCTTCCAATGCCTAAAGGGCTCCAGAGAGCTGGAGAGGAACTTTGGCCAAGGGCCTGAAAGGAAAGGACAAGAGGGAATGGCTTCCCACTGCCAGAGAGCAGGGTTAGATGGGATATTGGGAAGGAATTCCTCCCTGTTAGGGCAACGAGGGGCTGGGATAGAATTCCCAGAGAAGCTGTGGCTGCCCCATCCCTGGAAGTGTCCAAGTCCAGGCTGGACAGGGCTTGGAGCAATCTGGGACAGTGGGAGGTGTCCCTGCCCATGGCAGCCAGTGGGGCTGGATGAGCTTCAAGGTCCCTTCCAACCAGCTTGGAATTCTGTGGTTCTACACAGTCACTACTGGGGTTCCTCAGGGCTTGGTTTTAGGGCTGGTCCTGTTTAACATCCTTACTGATGATCTGGATGAGGGGATTGAGGGCACCCTCAGGCAGTTCAAATTGGGTGGGATGTGGATCTGCTGGAGGACAGGAAGCTCTGCAGAGGGATCTGGACAGGCTGGATCCATGGCCAAGGTCAACACAACCCCATGGAATGCTCCAGGTGGGGGGAGAGGGGCTGGAACGCTGGGAAAGGACCTGAAGGGTGCTGGTGACAGCGGCTGACTGTGGGCACAGGTGTGCTCAGGTGGGCAAGGGGCCAATGGCACCTGGATTGTCCCAGCCATGGTGTGTCCAGCAGGAGCAGGGCAGTGTCTGTTCCCTGTGCTGGGCACTGGTGGGGTCACACCTCAAATCCTGGGGCCAGTTTGGGGCCCTGCTGCCAAGAAAGGCATTGAGGGGCTGGAATGTGTCCTGGGAAGGGAACGGAGCT